ATTTCTTTAGAAATGAAAATCAGCCTCTATCTATGATTTTTAACAAAAATCATACTTTTTGCCAGATTTGTAACAAGCCAAACCATTAAGCATTAAATTGCTATCATTGTATGGATTTCTCCTATTAAGGGAGACACCCACCATCACCTATTAAGGGAGACACCCACCATCTCAATTGGTTGTAATGGCAACACACACAATGTCATTGACAATGAACCATGGTTTGCTTATAGTGGTGCTAACAATCACATCACTACTACATTAGATAATTTGGCCCTACAACAACCATATCAAGGTGGAGAAACAGTGATAATTAGTAATGGTGGTGGTTTGCAAATCTCCAATACTGGTTCCATAGTTATCCAAAAACCTATATCTACACTTTATTTAAATAATGTTCTTCATTTTCCTTCAGCTTCTGCTAATCTGCTTTCTATTCAGCAGTTTTATGCTGATAATAATTGTTATTTTTACCTTACTTCTAGTCTTTTTCTTGTGAACGACATATAAACGAGAGAAATTTTATTGCAAGAACTGAGTAAAGCTAGTCTATATCTGATATACTTGAAACATCTTTCATCAAAGAAAAGTTGTATTTTGGTTATCTTCATTGGTGTTAAAGCTCCCGTTTTAGTTTAGCATAATCAACTCAGTCATCCATCTTCTTCTGTATTCTAACATTTGTTATATCATTCTCAATTGTTTGTGTCTAGCTCACAATGACAAGAATCTTTATGTGAGCCTTTTTAACTGGCAAAAAGTAAAAAGCTTCCTTTTTTAATTTCTAGTCGCATATTGAATTTTCCTTTTGAGCTTATACACTCTAATGTATAGACCTTTCCAGTAGAGTTAATAAGTGGCTGTAAGTTTTATGTCTTATTTGTTGATGATTTTTCTCGTTTCACTTGGCCTTTTCCATTGAAACACAAGTAAGATGTCATTGTTTGCTTTCTTAAATATAAATGTTTAGTTAAAAATCTTTTATCTCAAAAAATTAAGCAATTACAAACTGATGGGGGTGGAGAATTCACTTCTTCTCATTTCAAAATGTTTCTTGCAAATAATAGCATTATTTATAGAATTTCTTATCCATACACATCAGAACAAAATGGTCTAGTAGAACATAAGCATCATCATATGGTTGAATCTGGCTCAGTTCTTCTTGCTCACTCATATTTGCCTAACAAATATTGGAAAGATGCTTTTTTTTATTGCCATCTATTTCGTCAATAGATTACCCTCTCCAACATTAAATAACAATACTTTATACACTAAGTTATTTAATACAGAAGCAAATTATTCTATTTTCATAGTTTTTTTTATTGTGTGTGTTATCCATTACTACGACCTTATAATGATTATAAATTATCTTTTTGCAATAAATGGTGTATTTTCTTTGGTTATTGTTCAAATTCTAAAGGTTATCGATGTCTTGATTCTTTAAGCAATAAAGTTTATATTTCACAACATGTCATATTTGATAAGCATGTGTTTCCAACTAAGGATATATATTTAACTGCTTCCCCATAACATGACCATCCCTCTACTATCTTTCACATAGAATTGACATGTAATTTTTTATCTCTTCCACCAACTTCAAACTTATCTACCATTATTTCTCTTATTTTTAACACATCTACAGATATTTCACCATAAGATCCACCATCCTCTTTATCTCTTCCAGTTCAACCAACCTTATCCTTTTCACCTATAGTTCTAAAATCCCCATATCATATGCTTGAAATATTTGCACCAGCAGAATTTATACCCTTTTCTTCCTAAGACATTTCCTTTACTATATAATCGTCCTTAGAGTGTTCTTTTTTGCCCTCTTGAATGATTACTCGTAGCATTACCGGATCTTTCAAACCTAAACAACTTTATGACTTTTATCTTTATCACTCTACAAAACATCCTCTCAAAGCCTTTCATACTATCATCCTTCCTCTTGAACTAACTACCTTTTCATAAGCCTCAAAGAGCCAACATTGGAGAGATGTTATGACTGCCGAATATAATGCTTTAATATCTAATGGTACTTAGAATTTGTATCTATGACCCATTCATAAACATGTGATTCAAAACAAATAGGTTTGCAAACTTAAACAAAAATCAAATGGCATTATTGATCGTTATAAGACAAGGCTTGTGGCAAAAGGTTTTAAGCAACAAGATGGCATCGATTACACTGAGACATTTAGTCTAGTTATTAAACAAGTTACTATTCATCTTATTCTTGCTCTTGTAGTTCATTATGATTGGACTATTTAGCAATTAGATTGTTATAATGTCTTTTTATATGGACAGTTGATGAACAAAGTTTTTATGGAACAACCACAAGGTTTTATGGAATCATCTTAGTTTGATTTTGTTTGTCACCTTCAGAAATATTTTTTTCGGCTTGAAACAAGCTCCTCGTGCCTAGTTTTAACGTCTCTCCCAGGTACTCCTTGATCTTAGTTTTATAGGGTCCATTGTGGATATATTACTATATGTATTTCTTCAAGAGGTAGTGCATATTTATGTTAATGATATTATTGTTACAAGCAATAGGCTAATTGTTGTTTCTGATCTCATTACCAAGCTTCAACATGAATTTTCAATGAAGGATATAGGACCACTTTCCTATTTTTTGGGTATTCATGTTCACCAAAATAGAGTACGTCTTTATTTGAATCAATCTAAGTATATTATTGACTTATTGAATCGTGCCAACATGATAGAAGCTAAACCATATTAGTCTCTATGTATTTTTGGTAAGAAGTTGTCAAAATTTAATGGTGATCCTTTTCTTAACTCATCACTTTATCGTCACATAGTTGGAGCATTACAATATTGTACCTTGATAAAACATGATATTGCATTTAGTGTGAATCTACAAAAAGGGTCCTCCAATACCTTAAATCTACAGTTAAGCATGGCATTTACTTTTCAAAAAGTTATTTGCAATTATATGGCTATTGTGATTCGGATTGGGCTGGAAGCCTAGATGATGGGCACTTCACCACTGGCTACAAGGTTTTTTTAGATCCTTGTGGGCGGCGAGAAAGCAACCTATTGTCGCTTGTTCCAATACAAAGGTTGAATAGCATTCCATGACAATTACTACTACCGAGCTCTATTAGATTCAAATTCTCTTCAAAGATTTGCATCTTTCCCTGATAGCTTCCCCAACCCTCTGGGTTGATAATATTAGTGCTCTTGCCCTAGCATCAAATCTTGTCTTTCATGCTAGGACAAATATATCAAAATTAATTATCACTTTATTCATAAGAAAATAGCTGTTAAATGTATCTCAGTTTAATATATTAGTACAGTTGATCAAACAACAAATATTTTTACAAATGGTCTCACCACATCTCGTTTTCTTCTATTTAAAGACAAGCTCATGATTCATTCTCTCCCTATAAGCATGAGAGGGGCTGCAATAGAAATAAAGGAAAGTCCATTCAATACTTCTATCTCATCTGGGTTGTAACATAAATAGAGGAAAATCCATGCAGGACTTTTATCCCATCTTTATCTAGTAGTGGTTTTAAATCCTCTCTTATCTTCTTATCTCATGTAACAACTTTTCTCTGTAAATAATATAAATGTACATGTGATGATAGTGAAAATAATCAATAAGATTCTTCTAAACTTATATTGTTTACAAAGATAAGGTCAGAGGGCATATGCATCTTTTACACTGAGTAATTTTGTTCGACAAGACAACCTAACATCAAATCAAGATATTTATCATTCTTATCTTAAAGGTTGGAAACCATCCTATTATTAACCTTCTAAAGTCTTAACTTAGGCCTAAATATATGGCAAATCATCTTTGAGACTTGTCATATAATCATTTCTTTAAGTGGTAAAGATCTAGAACGTGTTTGGCATCATGTAACTTAAAGCAGTAAGTGCACCATATAATAAGCACATGGTTGCCTTAATTAAACCTGGATGTATAGGACTGCTAGTTGCAATATTAGAGTCACTAGATAGCTAATTAATCATGTTCTTAGTACAATGTAAATTCAAATTATAAAATTATAAATAGTTTATACTCCATCAATACAGATGTGATGTATTTGTTTTTACATGATAAAATTTTACTTTTCAAGATCCAAGAAAAAAAAATTAAAAGTAGTTGATAAGACTTGTATCTAAAATAAAACATTGAAAACAACTATGTTTTTTTATTGACTAACACTAGTTTCAATACTCTCTTCGTGACCATTTATAGTATTCTAGCTTATGTGTCTTTTGTCTTGATGAATAATACATTAATTTTAGATATTGTTATGCTTTCTTTTAAATATTTTAAATATTGTTATACTTTCATAAATTTTAGATATTGTTTATCACATACCATGAATGTCAGCAAGTGGATCAATAAAAAATTATAAGCTTTTTTTGAACTAAAATGAATGAATCAAAAAATTAAAAGTAAGAATTTTTTTTTAATCTTGAAGTCTGATTTCTTGTTAGATTATATCTCAGACAAGTTATGAAGTTTTCTATAAATAAATTATAATGTTGTAAATTTGTTTTAAAAATTATGGTATTTAGGCATAAACACATGGTGCACATATCACACTTCAGATTATAGTTTGTCATTCTTGTTTGTGAAAATATTCCTATAAAATAAAACAATTTAAAGTTCTATCTAAAATAGATAATATTTTATTTGTTATGAAGGGTTTAAACAAGACTATATTTCCTTAATTCTTGCACTATTAGTTGAAGAAAGAATCCATGGATACAAGAGTGTGTGAGGCTAAAGTGTTTGTGAGTAAATACAAGGTTATGTAATGAAAAAAATAAGAATTGAAATTTTGAAATTATTATAAAATTATAAAATTAAAATCACAATTTTACCTGATTTTATCTTATTTTAATTCATTTTTATCATTTTTAATTTTTATATAATTTTATATAATAAATATAAGTTGATATGATTTTACAATTAGAATCGGGATTTGAACAGCCTTTCCCAATGCTTAATAATTAATGAAGTATATAACTAGAAAGATTAGAGTTTAATTAACCAACAAGGTTGTTACCCTAAAATAATTTGTCGGACAAGGTTGTTACCCTAAAATAATTTGTCGGTAAGAAGGGTACATGGGATTCTTTACAGCAACATATGATCATTTCTTCTTGTTCTTTATTTGATTAAGTATCTAGCCAACATTGGATGCCTAGGCTAGCTAGCTAATCCTAAAGGAACATGCCATGCCGTGTATATGGTTGCATTTATGGGATCATAGCCGCAGGACTCTTTCATCACTAATGTATTTGAGATTGTTTAGAAAGTAATCTCAAGAAAGATCAAAGCATATTCCACAAAGTTAGCATTACTCTTTCTTCATTTACCTGCAGGATCCTTCAATTTCTAATGCCTTTGATCTGTCTCTCCATGTATCTATATATAGTTTTTGAAAATAAAAAATAATTTGTTTAATCACAAAGAATTAGGAAATATTAAATATATATGCACAGGAATTTTTAAAATAATTAATTAATATTCCTGCCTATTCATTCACTACCCTCCTCTCTATTTGCTTTAACACAAGCAATCCTCTCTATTCCCGTACATAGTATCTTTAATTTAGTGGTTGGTTTATATTCTGTCCTCCAATTATTCAAAGTTTAGAGGTATGACCATTGTATACTGTATATAGTTTAGATCTCGACCTATTTTTCGTCCATATAGTAACTTCATGTTGCATTATACCACTGGAAGAGTAAATGCAAGCACTGATCATAAAGGTTAAAAAACATAAAATAATAATATATTTCATTGCTTAGAAACTTAGGAACATGATAAGGAAGGGATTCGAATCATCAAAAGATTCAAGATACCTTCCTTGATACATTTATGAAGTGCTTATAGTAGCAGCACGATAATAATTTAAAATAGACAACTAGAACAATAAAAGAAAGGGTAGAATCACTGGTTTTGATTCTTTAATCAAAATCAGTGCTCTTTTGAAATTATTTAACCTGGGACAACTAGAGCTAGCTCATAAGTGGAGCATAGTAATAGGAGGAGCAGAAAGCAGTGAATCTATATTGCTGCGGAAACATACATGAAGTTCGTTGAGCTAGCTCACTGGAGCTTCATGTTTTTCATCCTGCATGTCAAGACAAAAAGATCAGCACATTTAGTCCTCTCTTGTGATCGATAATTCTAATTAATATATGGTTATTGTTACTATTTATTTATTTATTTATCTTTGTGGGGGGTCATTAAGTTTATGTTGTTGTCCAGAAATTATGTTGTGCCGTGGCTCAAACTCGTGAAAGAGAAATACCACTAGGGTGTAAGCTTTTAAGTTTGAAAGCTATATATATATTTGCTTGTTAAATTCATAATTTAGTTGTCAAAATCACTCCATCGAAGCCACGTGAAAAGTGCTTGTGGGGTCTCAAAAAAATATAATTTGAGTTAATTTGCAAATAATTTCCTACAATATCTTATTATTCTTTGATAGGAATATACTTTCTGCATGTAATGTGAACCCTTTAAGGTCAGTCTCCATGAACTTTTATTCCTGTCGATGGAGCCGTGATTTTGGTTTGGATTGTAGATGCACAGTTTTTGACATTTGAAAATCAATATACATACATACATATACATATATATATATATACATACATACATATACATACATACATATATATATAGGTGGTTTTGGCAAAAAGCAAGAAACATGACTCCAAATGGCTCTCAAAAAGCAACAAACATGACTCCAAAAAGAATATTAATACTGTTGAGCAATCCGTTCTAGAAGTTTAGAAAAGAGTTAGAGAATCCATGTAAAGTTAGAGAGTTAGACAGCATATTAGTGACTCCATGACAGCTCACTTTATTAGATTCAGATATCTTAATCGTGGCATGACATGGTTAGCTATAAAGTTTTGTGAGTAGCTAAATATGCATTTGTTATTGTGATATTACTTTAGTTTTATAAACTGCTATATACATCTTTTCCTCACCAGTCTTTGAGTGGCCATTTGCCCCGGTAGTCCTGTAATTAGGGAAGGGAACTCGGCCTGACTCAATATGCTTGACATCCTCCACGAGGAGTTCGTAATGCCTTTTCACTTCTTCAGCAGTTTTTCCACCAACTGCCCTGGCTACATTATGCCAACGGTCGGGTGTGTCCTTGTCATAAACAGCCAAAGCCCTTTCAAAGGCTTTGTTCTGCTGAGCAGTCCACGAGCCCGAACCGCGAGAGGACACGGAGCTTGATGCCATTTGTTTGAATGATGTTTTTGGTGTAGGTGATGGAGAGGCCGGCTGCAAGGGCAAAAGATGATGAAAAGGGTGATTAAAGGGAGTTTAAAAGAGAAGAGATTGCAAGTCAAGAGGATGATATGTGCAATAGAGGTGGCGATGCCTGCTCTTTATAGGCGGAGGTGAAGGGGGTACTGATGAGGTGGGGTAGGGCTAGTTGCAAAGAAATCTAGCAAATGCAGTAGAATTTTTAATGATTTGTCTCCTTCGGAACCACAAAATATTGAAGTAGAGCAACAACGTAGGGGAATCAGTATCTTCAATGATTAATTAACAACACAATTAAGTCCTTGTCTATCTTTATAATACACATCATATGATAGAAAATATAACATCTAATTAAGTTCTAACCATTCTCAATTCATACAGTAATAAAACAAACATCAGTAATTAACAAAACAAGTAGAACTAATCCTCTCGTATTTTGCAAATAAACTTAGTTCCATCAAAATTCACGTGGTTTAGTTCGCTACGGACTTTCTTATGTTGTTGAACCAGAGGGTAACTACATTGATTTTTTTTATATACATAAAATAAGTATAGATAGGCTATCTCGAACTTATGGTATGATACATCACCCAATTATTTAAGGCGAGCTAAAGGATGGAATACCTCAGCGGATAGGGCTGCAAAATGTAGAGTTGCAACCAAATAAAACTACAGTTTCACGACTCGAAACATGACTATCTTGATGATGCAAACAAGCGTCTTGAACCATTGGAACCACTCCAAGTTGGTAGTTATATCGAGTTAGAACCTTAAAAGATAAATTCCAATAGAGAAATAGAGAACAACATAGTGGAAATCCCTGGTAGGATTCTGCACCTGTTGAGATTTTATGCAGATTATTACTCTTTACCTGTTTTATTCTCTACCCTTAACGTGCACAGAGGGCTCTGAGTTAGGTGGTCCAACTCCAAGCTAAAGCCACAACCAGACCTTACAATTTTACCTTCCACGCGCGCACCACAACCCCATATTTTTTCCAATTCAGAAAGGATTAACTGCAGAAAAAAGATCCCTCGTGTTCTGTTTCATTATTATGGAGATGGTCTCATAAGTGTACCACGTCCTGAACAACATTCCAAGCAAAACAACTGGCTGCTTTGTACCTTACAATGATTTAAAGGTCAACATATGTTAGCTACCCTTTTACAGGGATATGTTAGTCAATTAGCATGCAAAAATACAATTAAAAGACGAACTAATACAGCAGCAAAAATAACCTTGACAAAATAACATAATTTTAGGATGATGTGTTCACAATCATAATATTTAATCAAATTCTCTTATAAACTAGTTGATTATTGCATAATAATCAATTTAACTAGCAACGGTTAACACTGAAAAATAAAAATATGCTTGAATGTGAATGATAAATTTTAAAGATTTTAATTATAGTATGATTTTTAGTTTATAAGTTAGACAAAAATATATATTTTGATGATTAAAATATATTTAGAAGAAAAAATTTATAAAAAATCATATTTTTGTATAAACTGATCAATTGATTTAAATAACTTAATTAATTTGTTGACTGATTAAGTAGAAGAACAGTAATGAAGCTACTCTCTCTCACAGCAACAAATTTCTATAACATCTAAATCTAACAAAAAAAAATTTCTATAAAATTTATTATTTACTTTGTTAATTTGACATTTAATTTAGTTAATGATTTTAAAATTTTAACAAAATTTGGATAGAGTTTTATCTATATAGAAACTATACTTAAAATTTTGTTCTTTTAAAAAAACCACAATAATCAAATTCAATAAATTCTTACATTTCATTATCACAAGTAACCCTAAAAATGCAAAAAAAAAAAACATATATACATGCAAAATGAATCTAAAATACTTTAATAATACAACATTCAAGTAATTAAAATCTCAAAATATATAAACATTACTAATATCTCTATATTTACATCATCTATTAGAAGATTTGGGTTCCTCAATAGCATGAGTGGATCCAACTCCTGCACCTGCCTCAGTAACCTTGTCCTTTACCATGGCATCATCAAGAGTTAATCTCTCCATAGATTTCAAGTTTAATGCGGCAAATATTGAACCATTGAGATGTATAGGTGTAACTTTTATTATTGTTTTTATCAATATTACAAATCATTAGTAAAATATTGATGTTAAATTAAACGATTAATACATAAAATTCAATATTTAATGTATATTAATTATAAAAAAAATTAGAGTATTTATGATATTTTGAATTTGTTGGACATGTTGCTCGTACTGTATATGTATAGATAGAGGAACCTGCTCTAAATCCGAACTAATGACCTGACGTGTGATATTCATGTACCAAATCAAATCTTCTCATTTGTAATCACATGATACAACTCTGTAAATATCTCATTCATTTGTGCATCTCATTGTGATATATAAGCTCTAGCATAGCTTAACCAGTTGTAATTATTATTTTTACCTTGATAAGTATGGGGTGCAAAGCATCGCTTGTATTGAAGTCAACTAGATTATAAAGTTTGTAGTTAAATTGGAGTATTACATGATCTAAGCAACGTAGCTAGATCATCTCAAAAAATATCAGCGAAACCACTAATATCCACATGTCCATCCTATTAGTGCAAATAGCTAGAGCAACCACCAATCTTTCATCCAAGTAAGGTGTCCTTATAACCTTTAAAATAGATGTTTCTTAAATACTAAATAGATACAATTTGGTGAAGTCAAGTATTTTATTTAACAAATAACTCAAAAAAATATTTGGATAGCATGTTATCTGTCTAGCTCGCTTAAATAAAATATCAACACAAGTGTTGAATTATTTTTAAATACTTCATTAGCGTACCATTTAGCATTACAAATATATCAGTTTAATTGCACTTTTAAAATTTACAATTAAACAATATAAATTTGCATCAATATTGCAAAATAACTCTGTAATACCTACATCCTAGTAGGAGTTGTAGTGTAACCCCGATAGTTTAGACAATCATAAGCGACAATCTGGGTATGTGGGGTTGGCCAACAAAAAGATGTTTATGAAACTATAACTATTATAAAAAAAAAATGAGTTGATTATTTATTATTAACAATAAATATTTTAAACGCAAATTGTTATAATCTTATTTTCCAATCATACTTGAAGAAATAGCAAACATCCCTCGACATGTTTGGCCCTCTTCATGCATGCATGACATCGATGTCTGTATAAGCATGTCAAGACAACAGATCTTCAATTATATGTGGGGATGACATCAAAATTATCCAAGAGCATCAGATAAATTAATATTATATATCTTAATGTAATGTTTATGAGTGATATATTGCTAAATGGATGCATAAAATATGCTTTGACATACCTATAGAACACATTAAAATCCATGTAGCATCATATTCGGGTTTAATGTATCATCATTTTCATTGTCACTAGATCAGAATAGTCAAATTTATATGGATATGTAAATGAATTTTCAAACATAGTATTATCTATCCTTTGCATCAAATCATCTAACAATAAATTTTTTACCTCTACTAAATGAATTTAAAGGATAAGCAAAAGTTATGACACACACAGATTTTGGCCAATTACTCACAAACAATATCATCATGTTCAAATCATTTTGGATGAAAAAATCAATTATTATCTTGAAACTATTATCACATATAATCAATACAAGATAATATTGATGTTCAACAATTTGATGCCTGTAATTTATTTCAAAATCAATATTATGACAGTCCTAATTATTGAGACAAACAAAAAATCATGTTTATTATTTTACATAATTTTTTTTAATGATTTGCTAGAATTTTGACAAAATCTCCCCTGTACCAGGAGGTCTAGGATATCGATTGTGACCTATTACATTTCTATTCATATTTTTCATTCTTGATTCAATTATCCTGAATCTCAAACCATGATAATGGTACTCATTGTTTCTCCCATGCCCATATAAATATGCTGAAGAAAAATAAAAATAAAGACATGCATAAAAAGTTATAAGAATATCATAGTAGTGGAACTCATTTGTATCTATGCATCAAAAATAGAGATTTAACATTGTTATTATATAATTAAGTTAATTATAGCTAGTACCCAAAATTATACATAGATAATAACAAAAATAGAATAGAGTGAGGATTACTCCTAACATAACTGAGATAGCCTTGAAAAGTGCAATAAAAACATTACGATAAATAAACCAACTATAAAAATAATTATTACATTGAAACAATATCAATCAAATACTATAAACAACATTGCTAATCATTTATAAGTAACATTTCCCTTTATCTCAAAAAGAATTTATTAAGGGTATGCACAAGTAGTTATGCGTTTGAAGAAAAATAAAAATAAAGACATGCATAAAAAGTTATAAGAATATCATAGTAGTGGAACTCATTTGTATCTATGCATCAAAAATAGAGATTTAACATTGTTATTATATAATTAAGTTAATTATAGCTAGTACCCAAAATTATACATATCATTCTTAATTTATAATAACAAAAATAGAATAGAGTGAGGATTACTCCTAACATAACTGAGATAGCCTTGAAAAGTGCAATAAAAACATTACGATAAATAAACCAACTATAAAAATAATTATTACATTGAAACAATATCAATCAAATACTATAAACAACATTGCTAATCATTTATAAGTAACATTTCCCTTTATCTCAAAAAGAATTTATTAAGGGTATGTTAATACTAGATCATTAGTATCATTTATTATCATTCCTTGGTTATCTAATCTAAATCTTAACAATCCATTGATATCAAGGTATTTTCTTTTATATCACTATTTTTGTTTAATGACTAGAAATACTTAATCACTTTTATTTTCATTCTCTCAATCCTTAAGGTTATAGCAATGCTAATAAACCTAGTAGTACTATTAGTCTCTCATACCCAAGATCTACTAATCACATTTTAAAAATAATATCGATATCAATGTAACTCATCAATATCATTAGTTATCCTACCTTGAAATAATTAATCAAACCCTTACAGGTACCTCAATTCATCATCTGGAAATGTCGAGGTCAAGAACCTCTTAACATCATTAGCCTCCATTCAGGAGTAGTTAATGAAGTTCCATATAAATAC